AGTGAGCATGATAAGAGCTTCAACATATTCGAAGTACCACAATCTTCCTGAATCCATATTCTTGGAGAGGAATGTGAATTTTCTTGGACAAGCCTTCATCCACGCCTGTAGAACACACTGCTCTACGTCATCGTCAACTGAAGAAAAAGATAAGGAGGCAGCCAGCTTCATTGTTTTAACCTAAAAATTAAAAAAGGTAAATATTAAAACAATTGAATGAAAAACTTTCAAAGAGGTAATAAAAACTGAGTTCTTGCATAAGTTTTTTATAATAATACATGGGAAATAATTTCCCTTTATTCATAACGGCATGCGATATATCATTAAAGTGGGAAATAATTTCCCATTATTCAGTACATACTCAGTACTGGCCTGGTAATAAAAAGTCAGTGTTTAAATATTTTTTTTTTATACTAAAAGGATTAGCAAGATTATGATATGGCGCCTAGATAGCTGATCTTAGAAGTAAAAATAGGTACATACTAAATTATCAACAGATTCATCTGTATCAAGAGTCGACTTAGATTGATGTTTGTAAGTTTCTAATATCTCCTCTTCAATGTTTCTCTGGACTTCTCTAGGCAAGTTTTTAATCTTCAAAACAGTCCAAAGCGACATATTCTTGCTATCCATTGGATTGAATTGTCTAGATAGCTTGATTTTATAATCTGGACGCATACACTCGAATAAAGAAAGCAGAGTATGGGAAAGATATAGCTTTTGTGGAGAACATGAAAATAAGTTATGGTTTTCCAACTTCTGGTACATTTTGCACAGGGAATGCATTTGGATCAATAGTAACTGGCTGTTGTTACTTATTCTGAAACAAAAGAGAAATGTTAGAAAATGAAGACTGAAACGTATCTCCGACGGTTTCTATAGTCTGGTCTGTGAGCACGTAGAATTTTGTCCAATGACGCGAATGTGCGACGGGCGCCCGCAGTGAGTGTGCGAGCGCGACAACAATATAATTACGCGCGAGCGTTAAGGATGGGTAGCTTGGGGTCATTGGACAAAATTCTACTTGCTCACAGACCGGGCTTTACATCAGATTTCATCAATTTGATAGTTTAATAATTGCCGACATGTTCAAAAGCGTTTACAAATTCCTAACTTATATCTTATTTAAGTAATTCTCTGAACTATTATCGCAACCTAATATTGTATAGTTCTCGCTTCCAAGCTGCAACAATATAAATATACAGGGTGTTAGAGTAAAAAGTCTTTTAAACTGAAAATAGGCAATACGAATAAAAAAAACTCAAAACCAAGTTTTTAACACTTTCCGCGACAGTGAACTGCTATTAGCAGTCATAACAAACTTCTATTATGTCTGAGTTAGTTATAAATATGTAGTTAGATCGTAATTTCATACCTAGCTATTGCAGTCCATAGGCACGAAGCGAACAATGCGGTTACGCATTCAGTTCCAAGTATAGCTTCGTACGTCATGCTCTCTAAACAACTCATTTCTTTAGCATCAAGAGTAAGAGACAAGGCGGTAGTGTAGGTAAGCATGTATTCGAATAATCCACAGGAATTTGATTGGTTCAATTCGTTTTGGAACCTCAAGCCAATGTTTAAAATCACATGAGCTGAAATTAAACAGAGGATTAATTTAACAAGAAATTAATTTTATTCAATAATAATTAGCTACGAGGAGCCAATCTAAATAGGGACAGGTTATGTACAATTTTGTTTCTTAATTATGCTTTAGTATGTGACCGAAAGATTTCCTAACCATTTGGCTTAAATATAATTTAATTTAAACATACTTACAATCAGGCAAAACTTTAAAGACACATTCCAATATTCTGCTTTTAGAAAAACATTGTAATTTGTCACCATTTTGCAACATAGATTTCATCATGCTAACAATGAAAAGTATATAGCCATGCAGCTTTTCATCGTTGCTTAATCTTTTTATATCTTGTTTGCAAGCCATCTGAAAATATGTGTACATTGAGAAACTGAAATACCAAGGTCCAAAATTATGAATAATGTGATTAAATACTAACATCAAAAAATGATTTATCCTGGATAAGTTCTGACAGCAAAATATCAGAGGGATTGAGAACATTTGTGATCATGCCATTTATGAGTTGTGTTGGTTTGCCCTCTAATTTGAGGCATGGTTGACTATTTCTGAAATTAAAAGCATTATTTTTATCATTAGACATTCATTCAAAATGTCTACAACAGTGATTTCTGAACAGGGACAGTACTTTAAGTACAAATACTTACAGATATATGGAAATTAGCATTTCAATAATTTGAGAGTTATCCCTCTGTAAGGCATGTTTGAAAATGATGCACATTTTGACCATTATTTTTATAATAAAATTTGTAACTTTTAATGACCTCATTATTACTTTCTCATCTTGATCTACCTGAAAGTAATTAGAAATGAAAAACAAAAAAAAATGGAAAGAAATCATCTAACAGTCAGGATGCCAGTTACCTAACACCCTGTATAGCTTAATTAATGTACCTCAAGAGCAGTTTTCAAATTATTCATTATCACAGCACACAGTGTCTGTGTGCACTGCTGATAGACTAGTTTGTCATTCAGATGACTAGAGTACTTCTCACAGAGGGCTGTGTATGCTTTCCATTGCTCTGCCATTGTTTTAACATCCAGGGATTGCACTAGTTCTCCTATCTTTAGATTGATGTCTAAAGCTGTAATCAGAGATGGGAAGGTAATTATTGAATCAACAAATTTGAAATAATATTAAGCAAATATTTAGATAGTTAGGACATACTGCTGTCCCCTTTATTAATAACTGAAAAATAATTAAACAACTGAATCTGACTGTGTTAAGTAAATAAGCACTACATCAAGTACTTATATCCTAAAGCTAACATTATTAATAGTAACAATAGGTGCGATTTTGCAACAAAATTTTTGTTAACATAAGATAAACATGACCAATAGAAAACTACCTTCAACAATGATTTCCAGTTGCTCTCTCTCCGTGAGATCGAAAATGAAGTGTTTTTCCAGCACCATGAGGTAAGTGAGCTGCAGCTCATGGCAGGACCTGAACAAATCCTTCAGCTGCATCTGTACATTTTTCAACTGGGCCCCATACACAGCTTCACTGAAATAACAATAAATTGGCAAAATGACATTAAAACTTTAAAAATAATAAATAAAACAGATATAATAATGTTATAAAAATTCCTGTAGGCTTATCAAGTGTAAGTTACAATTTATTGAAGAAATAAATATTTTTATTAATTATTTATTAACATTTTCAGAAAAGACAGAACAGGTCATGGTGAATAATTAATGGCATAGTGTATTTGAAGCTGTCTACTAAATCAGCAGTGAGCTAACATGGTTTAATTTATCTAGAGAAAGTTGGGTGGTTAATAAAAAAAAATCTAGTTAGTACCTATTCTTGCAATGTGTAAAAACCAGCATAATAATGTGTCCAGTAGCGGTTGGGAAAGTCTTGAAGGTGCAACACGACATAGATATTGACTCCACCACATTCTTGATCAGGTCTGACAGCATTTGTAGCAGAGAAACCGCATTCTCCATATATTGAGCCAATTTGCTTGGTAGAATATTGGAATCTGATAGAATATTAACCACAAAATCTAGGCTCTGAAATCAATTAACAAAATTTGTAAAAACTTCACAAAGACTACAGCTGCAGTGTTACTAAAGTACGTAATTCACCATAAAACATTAAATACAAACTTACTTGAGTAATACATAGCCGGCAATCTTCAAGAAGCACAGTGAAATGGTTAGGAAAGGACAACTTTTTAATTTGTGCTTTATTGCAAAGTGAATCCTTTGTATTATGCAGCAAGGAGTCGTAGTCCAAAGCATCCATCTTATTAGATTTAAGGAGTATTAATAACCAAATAGAATAGGATACCTGCACTGTAATTAGGTTTTCTTAAAAGGATACGATTAGTGAAGAACCATTGCAAGATAGAACTGGTACTATCTGAGAATACATCTGAACTCTGTGAGTTATCCATGCTTTAGATAATTCATAAACTCACAAACTTCCTTTATGTATTAAAAAGTACGATATTTTGGTTTTATTACTTAAAATCGCGTTTAATAATACAAACAAAACATTCCCGCTATTTCAAAGTTGTTTTTTGACAGTTTGACTGACATCACATACTCTCTAATCTGTGACTGACATCGACTTGTTTTTTTTATATTTCACAATACAAAAATCAATGTTGACAGCACTAAATAACTCACATGCTATGGTAGAAAAAAATTGTTCATAGTAGTAAAAAGAATAAAAAAAATCTAAAAAAAAAAGCACTGCGTCACTGCATGCCCTACTTTCCTGCTAGAATATTTCGAATGTAAAAGCAGCTTATGTTTTTTCATCCTCTAAATTTTATTTACAAAAAACAGAATTTTTTTTAAAACTAAGGCAAACTTAACTCTAAACAAAATAAAAATATAAACTTATTTTACTCAAAAATAAAAGTGTGTCCGTGAGGCAAAGAGGCGAGAATGCTGGCTGCATTTCCTCGCTGAATGGCAATACTAAGCCTTTGTGCAAGGAAAGAGCCAGCATTTAGATTTTCCGAAATTTTAATTAATTTAGGGGAAATGGTCCGAAACAGTAATTTAGCATTCGGTCCCCAAGGTCCGAAGGTCTCGACACCAAAAGGCGCAAATATGTAGTCATTAGAAAGTGACTCATATTTGCGCCGTTTGGCTAACTCAGCCGACTCTGCTGCAGCCCCAGCTTTAGCAACTGATTCCCTGAGGTGGGAAGGGGCTAAAGTATCGACACATGTAGCGTCCCAAACTAAAGCCCGTCCCCGTTCCCAGGGAACCAGAGTGAGACCATCAGGTCTCTTGCCATCATCACGGACCAATCCACGTGGTTCTAACGTGGAAGGAATACTTCAATGGCTTTGCCTGTTTTAGTATAAGTAAAGACAAAAAATATCTATGGCCAATCAGCCAGCTAACTGTCAAAAACAAGCTGTCATTGCTGTGCTGTCAATCAATCAAATTGATTGCTGCTCTGTGTCATGCATGTCAACAAAATCGTAAAAAATCCACTGTGCAGTAACTCGTAGGAATTATTAACGTGTAGATTAAAATCAAATTCTCGTGAAGTGCGCATAATGTATAATAATTGAACAATTTCTCAATGAACTCTCATAGTTGGTGTACCTAATGGCTATATTTGAAAAACCATCTCAAACCAAGTCTGTTGTAGATGACACCGAAAAACTAATCTGTACTGTTGAAAATGCACAAAATATCAACAAACACACAGTAAGTACTCTTTGTTTCATGCTTTGATTATAGGAGAAGCGGTATTTGGTCAATAATTGATGCCATCCGGTTCCATTTACTGTTGAATAGTATTGAATCAAAACAGTTCATTTTAGTTTTTTTAAATGTAATAACACGTATCTCGCTCCTAGGAATATATCTTACGAGTGCAGCGAGGTCCTAGCAAGGAGAACACTTGGCATGTGTCCAGAAGGTACAGAGATTTTGCAGCACTCCATTCCAGCCTTCAGCAGGCCAACATTGACTTGCCTTTACCACCAAAGAAACTTATTGGGAACATGCAACCATCTTTTATTGCTGAAAGGCAAATAGCATTACAGGTATTTATCCCTACACATTTTTAATAATATAATTATTTATCTATTGTGTTTTTAAAAGGAAAAAATAATATGTTTTTGTAAATGTAGTCAATTTTTAAATTACATCTTCTTTTAGAACTATATTGATGAGGTGTTAAAGCGTGAGGTGCTGGCTTTGACACTACAAGTGAGAAGTTTTTTGGACCCCAGCAACTATTCGCTGGCCATAGCAGGTATATTATTTATTATTATATTATTTTATTTTATTGCTTGATAAGTTTTATCATTGACTCATACATCACATGACCCTTATTATTATTTGACCTTAGAGAGCCTCATTAGGTTCATGGTCACAAGTAAAACTGAACTATTGATTTTCGAACAGGACTTATATTACAATGATTTTTATTGAATAGAAGCTTGTTCTTAGGATTTATTTCTTTATCTGGTTTCTCAGAATCTATTTTATAAAAATAGCTCCTACTCAGGTGTATTATTTTACCTGGTACATATATATTTTTTTTATTTAGCAAATGTATTGCCTAATTTTGAACACTTATCTTAGCATTATTTATATATCCATAATTTACTTATAATTAGCTCCTGAAGCAATGATTCAGATCAAGTGTCGTCGAGTATGCACTTGATACGTGTCATTGATATCTCAGAATAGTGTAATTTAATAGTGTGATTGCATTGGCATTGTAGAGCAAGCGCTACAAAGCGTGTCAATTGCGCTCCGAGGCGATGGCCGGTATGAATTGAAAGGACCTCTCAATGGCATCGGCTGGAGGCCACGAAAACACTACTTTTTAGTAAGTATTTTGACTTTCTACATAAAATAAATATCATAAATTCTAATGCTATTCTAAAAGCAATATATTTTTTTGTTATCTAATAGAGACTCGCTGGTAAATCCCTTGTTTTGTATCAGTGATTCCGGTAACAGTAACGGTACTCCATCTATTAATGATAATTGATAGAATACACAGAATTTTATGTAGTAAATTTACTGTATTTAAAAGCTAAGTATTGAATTTTAAATCACTATCATGAATCACTCGCTCATTATTTTAAATCTTGACATTGTAGAAAAGTTATTTTTATGCAAACATGTGAGTCAGAACATTATTTGCTCTGTTTGGTGTGACTGATAAGCCAAATACAATAAAACTATACAAACTAGAGTAATTATTATATTAGCAAGATGCCCTTATCATACAGGAGACATTACCCAGTAGCATAGATGTCAACTTAAATAAACAATTACATTGTATTAAAATGATTAATGTTGTGTTTTTTAGGTCACTGACATAGAAAATCGATCAAATTGCATACTGTCCTGGCAGACCTACGGGCCTGATAGAGCACTGAGCGACAAAGACTTGCAGACTGCATTCAAGAGCTTACAAAGTATTAGTGTAAGTCACTTTATAAAATTGTTAAATGAGTCAAACAATTTGAGTATTTATCAAAATACAGAATAAAATATCCTTATGATTAAACTAAGATCTCCAATTTTGTCTTATAATACCTCCACCTTACTTAAAATTTAATTTATTTTCAGCATCCTTACATAGATGATATATTAGCAATTCACAATTTAGAAACGGGTGCCTATGTAGTTAGGAAAATACACGAAACAGGTAGCCTGAGAGATATTCTCTATGGAACTGACTACTCTAAAAATTACTTAGCCAAATATGGAAATCCCAAAGTGAGGAAGCCTTTCACGATAGGACAGATTGCGCATTATGGGTATCAAATTCTGCAAGCCTTGAAGTTTCTGCATGAAAAAGGACTTCCACATGGTAAGTGTATATTTTTATTTAGTGTCCACCACTTCATATGCATAGAAAAACTTTACTACTCAAACAATTAGTGCATAAAGGCATGTATAACAAAAAAACGAAACTCAAAATCGATTCAATTTCAAGCATAGATTGAGGCTTTTCATTGGTTTAATTTAAATATTTAGACTTATCACAGCACAGAATCTTTGTCTCAGTTTGATTTCAGTTTTGAGCATTGTTTTTTATGGACGTAAGACTTTTCATTTAACTGTTATCTGGTACAAATAGATATCATTAATTGATATAAAATACAATCTAGATTTTGTATGTATATTACACGAAAAATCAGGCTATCGTCTTTTTAGCCATTAGGCCCAGAACAGACGGTGAAACCCAACTGCAACGAAACTGCAACTGCTAGTTTTGTTAGTTACTTTTGAGTTGCATCTAAGTTTCTGCCATAGCGTCCGTTGAGAGACCACACATGACGCGACCAGTTTGAAACATTTAGTTTTAGTTTCATTTATCAGAATCATCAGAAAGTTGCAGTTTCGTTGCAGTTGCGTTTCACCGTCTGTTCTGGGCCTTATGCATTTTGCTCAATCTCATTAATTAGTAACCGATTATTTTCCAGGTCACTTGCACCCCGGAAACATAGCAATAGACAACCAAAAGGCAATGCTAATGGACGTAGAGAACGGTCTGATAGGCGCGTCCTGTTTCTACCGCTCGCATCTAAGGCAGCGGCGGCGAGCGTGCTCAGCAGAAGCGGTGGACGTCCATTGCTTCGCGCTCACGCTGTATGAGATGGCGTTTGGGGAGCCGTTAACGGAGCCCTACAAAGACACCTACCCTGCCGGCACTGATGAAGGATTAGGTAAGTTAATAAAAGGCATTACTAATTGATCTAGAGAACGCTCTGATGGGTGCGTTCTGTTTCTACCGCTCGCATCTAAGGCAGCGGCGGCGAGCGTGCTCGGCAGAAGCGGTGGACGTCCATTGCTTCGCGCTCACGCTGTATGAGATGGCGTTTGGGGAGCCGTTCACGGAGCCCTACAAAGACACCTACCCCGCCGGCACTGACGAAGGATTAGGTGAGTTTATGAAAGTGAAATTCACCCGTGTTACGTCAGGTTTTTTAATAGCCAGCATGCATTTAACAGCTGGTATAAAGGCCTGTTTTGGGCCTTTTTTTATCGAACTAAAAGTCAGTTAAGTTTTTATTGAAACCACAAATTATTTATTTATTAGTAAATCCATAAACCATGAATACATTTCAAAATTAGTTAATGTATTTTAATTTAATTTTAATCACATTCTATATTTTATAACATGATTTCTCCAAGTTAAGTTACAAAAAGTGACTTATTTTAGTATGTAAGTATAATTTAAAAAATAATATCAGTTTTAGTGTATAGTGGCAACACTTGTAACACGTAGTCTCTGACGTTGTTGTTTGGCAAGGAGGTGGTAATGTGGTGGGGGTAGAGGCTTGCTGTGGGCCTAAAGTAGATTCAGTGGTCAGTACTCAGTTAGCCTCGGTTGAGTGAAGACTACTTGCCAAATCTATGCCCGATCGCATATTGGTCATTGGTGTAACTAAAAGTGGAAATATTATGTATGTTCGATAGTTAGCGGGAATAATGTGTTTTTCTTTTTGTTTTAAAAAGCAAGAATTACCATTATCGAAATCCCCCAACTTACCTTTTTTTCGTCCTCAGAATCAGTCCTCCGCTTATGCCTGTCGCGATCGGCGAGTAAATACGGCGCGCTGTCAGTAGAAGAGTTACTTTGCCAGCCGTTGTTTGCGCGCGCGCCGCTCAATGGCTTCCTTGCGCCGGATCACGACCGCGCGCATTTGAAGTTTCCGCTCGCGTTGAAGGATGAGATTAGGAAGGCTGTGGAGCTGGTGGAGGCCAGGCTTAAGACTGAACAGAAACTGGTGAGTTTGTAGCAAAGTTGTTAAATACTGTCTTCTTTCGTACCACGCATGCGCCGCTCAGGGACTTTCTCGTGACAAATCGAAATCGCAAGGACAAGATTAGGAAGGCTGCGCAAGTCGAGTCCAGGCTTGAGACCGAACAGAAATTAGTAAGTTTGTTAGTTTGTGTGCGCTTCGCTTGACAACTGCTCTGAACAAAGCGTGATCGCGCAAGTATAAACTAGGTTTAAGACATAACTATGTTTGTAACGTATTTTACCCTTTTGTGTTCAATTTTACAGGACCGAAGTACGAAGAGAGAAGTGCGTATCCAAGAAATTCTTAATTCTGAGGAAGAAATGAAGAAACAGAAAAGACGAGCGGTGAGTAATCTTATTATTACGTTTTCATTGACTTTTCTAACAGAGTAGACACTACAGATATTTGTTGCAGATGAAGTCTTTCATTCAAATAAAAATTTCTATTTGTTTAGACTAGTCACCATCAGATGAGATGCAATCCAAGGCCTTCCCCGTTCTGGCTATAAAAATCTTATTGTTCGTTTTAGCCAAACGACACCGTCTACTGCAGTGGTTTTCAACCTTTTTCATGATACGACCCCCCTAGTATGAAAAAATATATAGCGACCCCCCCGACCGTTCGCTTTTTTTTTTCATGCATTTTATAATGTTACAAAGATATTTGTAGGGACCGAATACTTCAATCCATACAACATCATCTGTCTTTATAACTAATGTTTTTTTACTGCTGTAGTTTTTACGACCTCTCGCGACCCCCCTGTAGAGGCTTCGCGACCCCCCAGGGGGGCGCGACCCACAGGTTGAAAAACACTGGTCTACTGGATAAAGGCCTCCCTGAAGGATTTCCACAACGACCGGTCGTGCCCTGCCCAGGATCCAGGATCCAGGATTGTATTGCAATTTTGTTTGCAAAACCTATTATATTGCAGTTCAATCATAAAGTAATTTTCTTCTCTTATCCTTTGCAGAAGAAGCGTGACAGCGTGTGGAAGTCTACGTCCTCGTTAGCAGAGACAGTCCGCTCGCACAGCGCCAGCACCGCGTCGTCGCCCACGCCGCCCGCGCTCAGTAAGTGCCTTACCTTAGGCCCGGTATCCACCAAGGCGGAGTGGAGAAATGTTTTGAATTTCCTGAATAATGAAATCTTATTCTTCTTTACTATGTTCCAACTTGGTGGAAATCGAGCCTTATAGTGCTTTAAATTTTACAGTATTTCGACCTTTAGACAATACGATTGCTTTAAAAATGATGATTACGTAACGTAGCTCTTCGGCCCACTTCTACGACTCTGGTGTAGCCTAATCTATCACAAGGTAGAAGCTGGCCATTGAAAGCTTATTAGCCTAGCTGCAATGAAGAATCAATACTTGAACCCAAAAATAATTGTGCGTATGTCGCACTGAAAATTGCGTTTATTACGCTGGTTCAGGGAATTTGATTTGAAAGTGGACTGTATAGGTTTTTTATAATAGAAAATTGATGAAAGGTAGATCAGTCCTCGCAACACAGAGACAGNTATCCATCTAGGTTTTATTAATCTAAGGTTTCAACTACCTATTTTAAAGTTATTTGTCACTTTGTAATTGTTGAATTTTATGGAATTGGGAAAGAAGTACCGAGTTTGAAGCGTTCATGAGCAGACATTGCAGTTGAATATTCAAGTTCTGAATTTGATTATTGATGAATAATAAAATAAATCCTACTAACTCGATTGATGGTTTCATTTAATTTATTTAAACCTGGTTACCTATAATAATATTTTTTCGTTAATTTATGAAAATATCAAATTAGCCCGTAATCCTGAATCGTGATACATAAAGTTAACCTATTAATTTAACACAGGTACGTACGACCATAGAGAAAAGTAATAAATAGGAAATAGAGAACCCTCTCTGTCAAATTTTTGAGCCTACTAATTGACAGCCTGGTGTTAAATTCCCTGTACTTAACCCATAAAGTTAATATTCCTTCGGAATAGAGCAACAATCACGAGCTGTCAAACGAAACCAAAAATGAGATGTCATTTGTGTGTGTAAATATAAATATGTGTGCATGCTAGTGATGTATGTCGTTACTTTTCACATGAATATCGATATCGATTTATATTAATTAACACCTTACAGTAGTAATATTAATGGAACTAAAATAGGATAGAATGTCCATATACAATCCGTATATGGGAGAGTGGAAAATAAAAATAAAACTCAGAAGATTAAAATGATTTAACTGATTTAATTGAAAGAGCAACAAACATCAAGACATCCATATAAACTTTCTGATTTCTAATTAGTAAGAGTAAGTCAATAATTAAAAATGATAATTCTGAGGATATAACCGTATGAAAGGAAATTCCGTGAATTAAAAATATCAAATAATTCGTTAACCATACGTATGAATGCAACAGACTCCGATAACAATTGTACGGCTAATTTTTACTTTCATTTTTTGTTTCATGAAATTTATATGTCTGAAAGTTAACTTATTGGCAAGTCTCAAGCCTTCTTTTACTTGAAGGTCGTACAGTTCTGTTACAAATTTAAATTCTACTCTCTTTCCGTTACTATCTATAAATGTCTTCTTATCATGAAATATACCTCTTATAAGTTTTAAAAGGTGACACGGATTGTGCGTATGTCGCACTGAAAATTGCGTTTATTACGCTGGTTCAGGGAATTTGATTTGAAAGTGGACTGTATAGGTTTTTTATAATAGAAAATTAATGAAAGGTAGATCAGTCCTCGCAACACAGAGACAGGTAATCTGAGCTTCACCAACCTTAAAATCGACCCTCGCCACGGACGGAAGCCAACCTGCAGACGCACGGCGTTCTGGGCGGTGGAGCACTGCCAGAGTATGCTCGGAGCTGATGCTGATGATGATGATGGTACGCGGAGCACGGCTACACGCGAATTATAGCAAAAGACACGGTCTTTTCAGGGAGTGAACGTCACTCGTAGACTCGCTAAGCGTGCGCGACACACGGGTGTGCGCGATGAGCGTCGCCGGGCAAGTGGGGCTTGCTCCGACCATTGGACGATGGTAGGAAAATAAAGTTGGCGAAGCAAATGTGAGAATACCCGCCAATATTTTTACAAGGACTGAACATACCCCCCACCGAAATCACTGTGATGATTTCTTGTAATCATTATTTGTGACAGGTATGAAATAAAATAAATTTAGTGCCTAACTACCTTACATAGACCTAGTTATAAAATTAAAATTAAAATTAGAAAGTGTATGTTATTTAAATTAATTTGCATAGGGCAAAGGGCAAACTTTATTAACGGGTCTTTTAAAGATGCCATTTTGAGTTCTTACAGTAATGATGCGGACAACATTATCAGGTCCAGGATGAATTTCTTCAATCCTGCCTCGCGGCCACTGTAAGGGTCGAGTTAGATTAGATTTAAGCAATACTAAATCTCCCACTTTTAGATTAGGTGCAGAAGAAAACCACTTTTCCCTCTGCTGAAGAGTATGAAGGTAGTCATTCGACCAACGCCTCCAAAAGGTTTGTGAGATCTTTTGGACTGATTGCCAACGAGACAATCTGTTCAGAGGAACGTCCTCAACTTCATATTCCGGGACGGCAAGTAAATTTTGACCCACCAAAAAATGACCAGCGGTCAGGATATCAAACTCATTGGGATTATTTGACATTGCACACAAAGGCCGAGAGTTCATTACGGCTTCTATTTTGCAAAATATTGTTGTTAACTCTTCAAATGTGAGAGAACGGTCGCCTACTGCGCGACACAAGTGATATTTTGCTGACTTTATGCCAGCTTCCCAGAGGCCGCCCATAGAAGCGGCATTTGGCGGATTGTTGCGCCATTCTACAGATCTAGATGTCAAGCCATTTAGAATTTTTTCTTGCCATTCCTTTTTTGAAAAATAATTATGAACCTCCTTAAGGTGTTTCGCGGCAGCAATGAAANCGGTCCAGTAGTTTTTGAGCCTATCCATTACAACTAAACAAACAAACAAACAAACAAACAAACAAACAAACAAACAAAGTTTTCCTCTTTATAATATTAGTGTAGATTTAGATATGGATTCCATATTCACATAATATTTCCTAGAGACCACAAAAATAGAAAGGCTATTTTAGGACATTTTTCCCCTAAGAGGATGTACCCAAATACATTTTGACAATTTCGTCGCAAATAATATAAAAGCTAGAATTAAAGAGGGCCCCAAACAATGTTATGGGACGGTATGATAATATACAGGGTGTTTTATGTTTTAATTTCGTAGAGTTTAGATTCGTATGAAATAATTATGAGAAATACTGTCATTTGCCCACGGCTTCCCGCGGCTCGGTGATAAACTGAATTTTTGTCAGTTTGTCAATCGTCATAAATTGTAGCCTATATAATATGTATGTTATTCTGGGTTATTATTTATTTATTTAAATACAGATAAAAAGACATACACAATAATACTGTAAAGTTTCATCAAAATCCGATCAGTAGTTTTTGCGTAAAAGAGTAACAAATATCCAGACATCCATACTAACTTTTGCATTTATCATATTAATAGGATTATTGTATTTCATTTATAAGCGTTTAATAACAGGTAAATAGGCGAATTACAGGCACTAAAATTTTATTTACCTGTAATTTATAATAAAGCAAACAAAATTTGATGTAACGCGCAATTGCCCCTTATTTTGAACCCGAGGCAAAGTATCTTCATAACCTACGGATAATTTGGTTACGCCCCGCTGGGTTGGGGTCAAGTTATTTTACATATTACATATTTAAAACGTAAACAAATGTTTATATAAAGCATAATAATATAATTGAGCGTAAAATTTGTTGTTTAAAATCGTCGGAGTCAAGATTTTACGAGCTTAGTCCGTGCCGCTCCATATCTCAGGCACTGACTGAGTTAGCGCTCCTGCACACGACGCCGCCACCGCGCCGCCACCGCGCCGCCGCCGCGCCGTCGCCGCGCCTTTGCTCTGTTCATACGCACCGCGTGAAGCCCGCTGCCGCACCGCCGCCGCGCCGCGGCGCTGGCGAAATTATGCTTTGATGGCCTTTAAATTCCGTGCCTGTTTTTCCGACTCTACCGCCAGTTCAAACGACTGTTACGCCATAATTTATTATCAGTCTTTATAACTTGGACAACACAACATTATGGCGGCCATTAAAAATATACAGGGTGTCTCTACAGTAAGATTTTCTAGATTATATTCACAGTGGTAAAGTAATCGAGACTTCAGTTTTAATGACAGTACAGATTGTAGGGTAATCTAAAATTTGCAGTGTATACAGGGTGTCATAAAAGTACTAACTCTAGTTAAGAGAACATGAAAAAGTTTCATATTCAAAATGATCTAGTATCATGAGTGTTCATTCATTCATAACATTCTCCTAACAGTCTGTATGTTTTCTTTAGGTAGTTTTTCATTTTTTTATATTTAGAAAAAACTCGCTTTGCACGTAAATTGTCTTTGTGAATTTCGTATAGCTATCTTTGTTCTTTCGTTGCTAATACATTAGACTAATACCTCTCCCAAGTATTTTAATAAATAATTAAACAAGATAAAAGGTGTTACGTGTTCACATACCAACCCACAAAACGACACAAATTACGAACAAAAAAATAACAGAAGAACCACAACGCTATAAAACGCGACACGTTAAATAAATAAAAAAGAAAAGTGTATAAAACGCGACACGTGAAATATATAAAAAAAGAAAAGTGTATAAATCCAGTGGGTATTTTTAACAAAAAAAACTGTCAAAAATAACAAAAAACTAAAAAAAATCGTTTCAGACGCGTCCATAGTTTAGAATAAACGAAAACATAAAAAACAAACCTAACCGGAACATGTGATCATGAAAAGTTGAAATTGAAACACCAAATCGTAGTGTCATATACAAATATACAAACAAATATACTAGTTTTAGTATATATATAATATTATATATATAGTGTTACGAGTGATGGCGCAGTGAATTTTAAAGTTGGTGGTTGGTCAAAATGCTCACGATGTCTACGCTCATGATGCCTGCTGCTACCATGACCACGATGACCAACGCTGGGCCGATCCCAGT